ATGGGTTAAATGACACCGGACATCATTTTAGGCAGGAAAAAGACCAGCGCTAGATCACAGAACGGCAAGCAAAGGACAGTACCAGAAAAGAGGTCAGTATTCTACACTTTTTTTTTGGCAACAGGTGGTGTATATATTTTCAAAAACATTCCTGGAACTGGGTTTTAAAAACAGAACTCCAGGCACCAAAGCTCTCATTTAAATCTATTCCTCAACAGCCACAAAATCTACTTTGTGTGCACCAAATTCCTGTGCAAATCCAGATAATACCAAGTCAAAGTAGTAGTGACATCATCACTGTGCTGTACTAAGCCTATGCAGAGAGGTTGGCTGTGGGAGGGGCCCAGCAGGCTCCACCCACTACAGGCTGCTTGCAGCAAACTACAGGAAGGGGTGGAGACGAGACCAGTCACTGTGCACTTAGCAGCAGTGATATATACTCTCCTTTACGAAAAGAAAAAAAAAAAGAATGGGAGAAGTTCACGCCAGTGTGCTGCGTTGATGTCTGCAGCCCTGCGCTGAAAAATAGTAGGAGCAGGCTATACTCTTTTCAGCGCAATTCAATGTACATGAACACAAGTTAGAACCAATACCTTATATAGCTTAGTGTAAAAATTAAAAAAGAAAAAAGCAGCAACATAACACAACCCATGTTAACATATTATGCCAATGTAAGTGAACACACCTACATGGAGTCAGGTCCAACACACACTTTTCAGTAACCATACAGGATACAATCTGACTTCATGACCTTCCTACAATCAATTTTAGAGTTGCCAAAACTGTATAATATGAAAACCTTCTTCCTCAATGCACTGTAACAATTTCAATCAGCCCGGCGAACATGCACTTCCTTGTGTCGCAGAGCCTACCTTCTGAACAACTCAGCATCTGAACAATGTAACATTATCATTGCTTGCTGGAAGTAATGTATGATGGGATATGCAGTCTTGAGAAATTGAGATTGCATCGCATCAAACAGCAGAGAAAGGGATGTGAAGCACACAGGGAATCCAGGAAGTTGGTGAAAATGATGGACAGACATGGCAGCACTCACTACATAAAAGTGAAGTTATCAAGTAAGCTTTGATTGTATTATCAAAAAGAACTCTAGTGTGTATTCCTATCACAATGCTGACGTTATAACAGGATAGGAGATGCTGGGACTTTATAATTCCTTTAAAGGAGAACTATGAGGCGAGTGCTTTTCACTCACCTCATAGTTCTAGCCGACCTGTGACAATGAGACTGTCACAGGTCGGCTCAGTAGATCGGGAGGTGTGCGAACACATACCGGCGTTCGCTCACCTCTCGATCCTGTCACGGCTCTGTACCGTGACAGGGGAGGGGCTGGATTCACCCCTCCCCGATCCGCCAGCGCTGACTGGCGGAACGGATGGTGGAGGGGGCTGGTACAGCTGGCTCTGCCTCTAGATAGGCAGAGCCAGCTGTCAATCACGCAGCTGGCAGATCCAGACATAATTGTCGGGATCTGCTTCAGCTGCCACGTCTCAGTATACCGCGAGCAGCTGTAGCTCGTGGTATACTGAGCGCTAGTTTGTGTCCTCCCGTTACCCTAAGGAGAACTATGGGGAAAAGCCTTAACCCCATAGGTCTCCTTTAATCTACATTCACCATCATTTAAACTGTAAGAGTTATTGTAGGACAAGGTGATGCACATCTCTATGTGAGAAGGATTCCACTCTCCATGTATGAATTACAGAATGTAATAAGGTTTGATCATCCTACCGCAGACCCTTGCAGTGTTCACATTCCTTTGTCTCATAAAGCTTGGCGGTCAGTGTTTGTAGTAGAAGACAAATGGCTTCTCAAAGTAAATGGTTTTCTGCTTCTCTTACCAAACCTGTCAGGTGTCCTAACTTACACCAAATAGCAATGAGTCCTGACAGACTCTTCAAACTTTTATCAATACATTGTACAGGGAAAGACCATGTGTAAATTACCTTTTATCTTCCTAGAGGAACTAATATCAGGAAACAAGAACTAGAAACAACAATCACTTTCATTCTAAGATTTCTTAACGTAACCCTGGGGAAGTCACAGCATGTGATGAAATAGCATGGTGTGAAAATACATCAACAGATCCACAGCTACAGGCCAGTGGCATCACAAGGGAGGTATGATGGGTGCGGCCCTCACCGGGTGACACCAAAATGACTGGCAGTCATTTTGGTGTCACCCTCTCTGAAAAGACCGAGAGCCCGACAGCTGTACGAGAGAGGAGGGGACCCTCCACTCTTTGCCGGCATCCATCACCAAGATGCCCACTGGCAGGTAAGTGCACGTGCAAAATGATGTGTCAATGGGCGACACCCAGCTTGGCGACACCTCTGCTACAGGTAACTTCACTTAATTGTAAATCTCAGCTTTACCCATGCAATTGTAGTGTGGCACCACCCCTCCTCAGCATACCCACAGGTCACTGAGGTTATCCAGCATATTACAGGGTATCGATGGTGAAAAACGAAAAATAAATCTGTATTTCTATGTTGAACTTCCATAGGTTCTATCCCACTCCTAATAATCATATCCATCTAGAAGTTTATAATCTTACTTATTGAAAAAGCTCATCACTTCCTGTGTCACCACTCTCACAGAGCCTACCTTCTGAACTACAACTCAATGTCTGAACAATGTCATCTAAACAGCTAAGGCAGTCAGCAGAGGAAGATCCGAGTGTCTCACCCCAAAAGGTAAATGAACAAAAGGAGCAGAAGAAATTGTTACACCCAGTCACTAGACTGAGAGGGGGCTTTTAAAACACTGGACATGCCTTCACATCAATACATTACATCTAATTAATCGCTGCAACCCTGGTAGTTTTCATGAAAATGCCAAGTATCTGTACTGGTACTCGAAAAGTATCTGTGCATCCCTAGTACAAATAAAAACATTTCACTTTAAAATCAAATTATATATGCTGGTCAGAGTCCATATACAGTCAAATCATTGTTCCCAATGGGATATAAGCTTGAGGTTAGGCCAAGGAGGTCTGAACAATGCAACATCACCATCGCTTGCTGGAAGCAATGCATGATGGGATATGGAGTCTTGAGAAATCAAGATTGCATCACATCAAGCAGCAGGGAAAGAGATGCATAGCACACTAGGAATCCAGGAAGTTGATGAAAGTGATGGACAGATGGAAGGCAGCACTCCCTAAATAAAAAGGGATTTTTTTCAAGTAACCTTTGATTGCATTATGAAAAGCAACTCTAATATGTATTTATATTCCAATGCTGATGTTATAACAGAATAGGATATGCTGGGAGCTTACAACTCCTTTAAGAGACCATTCAGCAACGTTTTGGAGCACCACCCCATTTCCAAAGGGTAAAAGTTTAATGTTCAGCATTAAAGATGCATGCATGATCCTCCCCCCTGGCATGTTTCACCTCCTCCAGGGGCTTAATTATAGAGCTCGATGATTAAAGCATATCTAAACCCAAAATTGCTCCTCCATAGAGTGGAGTCACCCTAAAGTTTACCATACACTGGCTGAATTTTGACTGGGTGAGTAGAACCTTGAGCAGTGTGTGGCCCCATCGGCACCCCTTCATTCAACAAAAGTCAATTTTCAAATTACTTGTTAGAAGAGCTGGATTGAACATTTTTGGCTTAACAGTGACTGCAGCCAATCAGCTGTAGTCATTTTTGGGGTATTCTGACAGCCGCAGAATGTTGTCAAAATACAATAGCCTGTTGTTGGGTGGGGAATTCCCTGTTTCATGCTACAAAACTCATTGAGGGGTATTTACCAAGACTGGAGCAGCTGCGCATGTCAGCCAATCATCTTCTATCTTTCATTTTCAAAGCCTAGCTGAACAAACACACACACACACACACACACACACACACACACACACACACACATATATACACACACACTATATAGGTTGAACCTGATGGACCTTTGTCTTTATGCAACCTCACCGACTATGTAAAAACTGAACATAGAAGCTGACTGGTCACTGCTCCAGATCCTGT